AAAAAGCAACCTCCTCAGAGATGGAGGACCAACCCCATTCCCAAAAGGAAGCTGCCCCCTCAGGACCTGATGAGGGAGCCCCATAGCCCCTAAAACAAGATGGGGGGGGGAGAGAGAGAGACAACCACCCTCAATTTCTGGAAGGGGAAAAAAATTACACCCCGCAGCTTCCACCTCCTCCGTCCCTCCTCCCTCAGGCTTCTTAGTCCTCCTCCTCCTCCTCAGGTCGCCCCTGGCCGCCCCCCCTCGCCCACAGGAGGAGCCATTTTGCTTCGGCGGGCAACCCCACGGGGGGGGAGGGAGTCGTCCGCCTCGCCCCCCCTGCTCGCCCTCCCCCCGCTTCCTTTCCTCCTCTTACGCCTCGGCTTCGGCCTCTCCTTCTCCGGCGGCCGCGCGTTTTCCTCCCTCTCCGGCCTGCCCGTCCGCCCGCCCGCCTTGGCCGCCCTCCCGGCTGTGGAGGTACCTCCGAAGGGGGGGGAAAGGCCGCGGGTCCGGCCTCCGTCGGCGGGCGGGCAGGCGGGCGTGAGGGACGGCCGAGGCACCTCCTCCTCCTCCTCCTTGGCCTTGTTCACACAAACACACACACATACACACCCCTCAGGGCATCCGAGAGGCTCCTGCCCGGCCCTTCCCCTCCGCTGGAATCGCACCCAGGAGCGCGGAGACCTGCATTTTAATACAGTATTGTGAGGCGGGAAAGGGCGTGTGTGTCTGTCTCTCTGTGGGTGTTGAGGTGGCGAGGAGAACTGGAAAACTCACGAATGGTTTGACAAGGGCAAAACAACAACAACAAAAAAACACTACACACGCGCGTGCAAGACTTGGGCCACTTCTGTGGCGCCCCGAAGGAGGAGGAGGAGCGGCGTCCCTTGGACTGGGCAGGATGGGAACCCTCTCCGGAGCGGAGCAGGGGAGATGATGCTCAGTCTTGCCGGCCAAGTCAAGGAAAGGATGCTGAAGAGGGCAGCGGACTGCAGAGGAAGACAGGAAACAAGGGCAACTAGGCCAGGCCTTCTCCTCCATGGCCTTCCAAAAAAAAAAAAAAAAAAGTGTTCTGCATGATCCCTCAACCCTAGTAGGGTTTTCAAGGCGTGTGGGAGATCTAAGAAGGGGTCTTTACTCCTAAGGAGTGGCCATAGTGGACCATAAAGAAGGCTGACCAACGAAGAATGGATGCTTTTGAATTGTGGTGCTGGAGGAGACTCTTGAGAGTCCCCTGGACTGCAAGGAGAACAATCCTATCCGTTCTGAAGGAAATCAACCCTGAGTGCTCACTGGAAGGATAGATCCTGAAGCTGAGATTCCAGTACTTTGGCCATCTCATGAGAAGAGAAGACTCCCTAGAAAAGACCCTGATGTTGGGAAAATGTGAAGGCAAGAGGAGAAGGGGACGACAGAGGATGAGATGGTTGGACGGTGCCATCGAAGCGACCAACATGAATTTGTCCCAACTCTGGGAGGCAGTGGAAGATAGGAGGGCCTGGCGTGCTCTGGTCCATGGGGTCACGAAGAGTTGGACATGACTAACTGACTAAACAACAACAAGTAGCAATAGTGGTGAAGGAGGGCTTCGCGGATGCTCTGAGTCGCCAGAAAGACAAACAAGTGGGGCTTAGAGCAAATCGAGCCTTATGTTTTCCCTGGAAGCAGAAAGGATAGGACAGAGGCTGTTGTGCTTTGGACATCTCATAGGAAGGCAACATGGGAAAGAGAAACATGATGATGCTGGGAAAAGTTGAAGGCAGCAGAAAAAGAAGGAAACCCAATATGAGATGGATAGGTTCAAGGAACCACAGGGTTGAATTTTCAAGAACTGGACAGGGCTGTTGAGAACAGGACATGTTGGAGATCAGTCATTCATAGGGTTGTCTTGAATCGGAGGTGACTTGATACCACATAAAGGCAACAGCAAGAGGTAGTAACTGTAGTAGTTGTACTACTAAATACATGTTTGGTTTTCAAAAAGTGTGCACAACTAATAAAATGTTTCCTTTCTCTGCAGTGTTGTAATGCTATGTTTTGAGGTGCAGGAGCTCATCACGATGGCCCCATGATCATGCCAACATGACTCCAATCTGGGTCTTCTGTATATTTGTCATTATATCTATCCATACACAGAATCAACAGCACAGAGAATATTCAGTTTATGAGAATCAGCTGACGGGTAAAACAGTATGCTCAAAAAACATTAGTGTATATTTTAGCATTTTTAACTTTGCCTATAAAAATCCCAAATCCTTCTGCTCATGCTTACTGAAGCATACTCCAACATTGAAGATCAAGGCCAAGATCCAGACTATGGTTTTCTTGATTGCTGGGTATTGATGTACAAATTGGACAGTGGAAAAAGCTGTCCAACTTGTACAGAAGACAACTGTGCAGATACCTTACACCTTCAGAAGGACAAATTAGTGGGTGCTAGATCACATCAAGGCTGAACTCTCTCTAGAAGCAAAAATGACAAAATTGGGGATGGCATGCTTTGGGCACATTGTGCGAAGATTCACTAGAAAGGACAATACTGTAATGCTGAAAAAAGTAGAAAAGGATCGGGAAAAGAGGTAGACCGAATGTGAGATGGATTGTCCTAGTAAAGGAAACCATATCCTTGAGTTTGCCATTGCTGAACTAATGACAGGACTTTCTGGAGTCACTATCTCATTGGGTCACCATAACTCTAAAGTAACTTGACAGCACATAGCAACATGCCCCATCCTTCCTCATCAGATCTCAGGGCAGCAAACAATAGACAGTACATAAAATAACACTGCAGAAACTACAAATTACAATTCTCTGAAATGGCAAACTACAGAGGTATGCAAAGGAATCCTATTCGAGTTGATGTAATATTTGCATTACATGTCACAGCTAATGATAATTCATAACTCTGCCACTGAGTCTGTTTGTGGCATGGTAACCCTTTCCAGAGTTTTCTAGATATGCTTACAGTACATGGAAGTGGTTTACCACTTCCTCCTTCTGGGGATGCCTTGAGACTCTGCATCTTGCCAACACTATGTGAGCTGGCTAGTCTCCCAGAGCTCCCAACCTCTGTCTCCGCAGCCAGATACCTAACTTGCTGAGATAGCCAACCAGCTAATTGGTGCTAATTCATGAGATGCCAGGGTGCATCATAGTTTTGCACTCAGATGTTTGACCAAGCATGTGACCAAAACAAATCCTAGCACCTTCTCAATCAATTGCAATTAGCTGTAGTTACGGAAACACTACTGGACAATAAAAGCAATGCAAATATGCAGAAGTAAAAGGGGATCTAATACTTTCTTCTTCCTTAGAAGCTTGTACAAAAAGAAATGGTCCCTGACCCTGACTCATACGTGAAGGAGAACAGTTAGGGAGGGAGTGACAGAAAGAGACAGGAAGACAGAACATGACCCTTGAAATGCTTGTGCCTGGACATTATGAGGGCTGTGCATAAACAAATGCCAGTAAATCTCAATGAACTAAGATGGATACGGAAATCCAAACCCATGACAGACAGGTAACATCAGTGCTGTTATGTAACAGGATCTAATACTTTCTTCTTCCTTAGAAGCTTGTACAAAAAGAAATGGTCCCTGACCCTGACTCATACGTGAAGGAGAACAGTTAGGGAGGGAGTGACAGAAAGAGACAGGAAGACAGAACATGACCCTGAACAGCAACAGTCCACCAGTCCAGGATTCTCCAGAATGTATTTTCTTTGTAGCAAAAACGATAACCTTATTCTTGGAAACTCTGAAAATGCAAACTAATGTATGCATTTTTATCTCTACTCCATATACAGTATGTGTTTTGTAAATCTAATGAGTCTTAATTAATCCATTCATGACCAGATCAGCCCTTACTTTACATTACAGCAGGGATAGCTCACAATCATATATTGCTGTGGAAAAACCACTTGTCTCTACAGCATTCAACTGGGACTTACTAGTTCCAACTGAGTGATCAAAGTCCTGAGCTCATTGGAGAAAATGGCAGATTAAAGGCTGGATAAGTCAGTGAGTGAGACACCTGGCTGAGGAACTGAAGGCTGGCAGTTCATTTGCCTACTGCACATCTCAAAAGA